GGAGGTTTTGGTGAGAGTGGGAAAAAACAGAGAAAGAGAAGGGGACAGAGAAGAAGCTGTGGAAGAAGAGCCCAACAGGCAGGGAGGAAAAAGAGACAGGGAAGAAGAAACTGTGGAAGGAGAGCCCAGCAGGCAAGGAGGAAGAAGAAACAGGGAAGAAAGAAGCTGTGGAAGGAGAGCCCAGCAGGCAGGGAGTAAAAAGAGAAGAGGAGAAGGAGAGGGGAAGAAGGGCTGACCACAAAGGTAGTGGTGCATATTAATAACTATGGATAAATTCATCATACATTTGTCAGTGCAAAGAGAAAGTGATTCAGTAAAAGAACTGCCACCGAAGAAATTAAAACCGGTACTTTTTTCCTTTTTTAAAATGTTTATAACATTTTATTAGATTATAGAATAAAATACAAAAATACAAAAGCAAATAGTAGGACAGTGGGGAGGAAGAAGGGGAAAAAAGTGAGGGGGAGAAGGGAAAAAGAAAGGGCATTTACTTCCGACTTCCTCTGTTGCAGAAGAATGATGTAGTAACATCAAACCTCAACTTTTTACTTTTCCATAATAGTATAAACTAGCCAGTTCTATAACAAATGAATCTAATCAGTAAAACCCCAAATCTCCCCCTTGTTTTAGTCATCACGTTTTTGACATTTTGCTAAGCACTGGTGGTACTAGAATACTGTCATGTCTTAAAAGTGGTACAATCTGTGAAAAGGTTGAAAAGTCCTGATCTACATAATTTATGACAATATGAAGAGTACTGGGTCTAAGGCGGAACCTTGGGATACCCACTATGTATTTCCCTCCATGTGGATGTCATTCCATTGAGGACTACACGTTGAGTATGATTTATCAGCCAGTTACACACTCACCTGGTGGTGGTGCTATCTATCCCACATTTTACTAGCTTGCCAAGAAGATGATTGTGGTCTACTTTATCACATGATTTACTGAAATCTAAGTATACTATTTCTACAGCATTTTGCTGATTTACTAATTTGGTCACTATGTCGAAGAATGAAATAAGATTTGGCATGATCTATTTTTGATAAACCATATTGGATTACTGATTATAACTTTGTTTGATTCCAGGTGTTGCAGATTTGTTGCTTGATTAGCTTTTCCAAGATCTTCCCAGGTATTGATGTCAGGTTGATTGGTCTGTATTGTCTTGGATTCATTGTGTTTTTTCCCCTTTTTTGAAGATGGAGACCACATCAGCTCTTTCCCAATCCTTAGGAAGTTCCCCGCTGCTCAAAGAACTTTGAAAGATGTGTTTCAATGGTTCTAAAATCATGTCTGTCAGTTTCTTCAGAACTCTGGGATGTAGTCCATCAGGATTTGAATGACAGTGATTTGAATCTATCTAGAGCTGACAGGCATTCTCTTACTTTATTTTTGTATATTTCAATTTGCATTCCTAACCTATCATTTATGGTTCTGTTTTTGATAAGTTGAGTTGTTTTCTTTTTGCATGAAGACAGATGCAAAGTATGAATTAAGTAGTTCTGCTTTCTCTCTATTGCCTGTTATTCTTTGCCATCTTTTCCCATTAGTGGATCAATTGTTTCTTTGACTTTTGGGGTGTTTTTTGTGTTGAAAGAAACTTTTTAAATTGTTTTTGATATTTGTTGTAATTCTTACTTTGTTCAAAGACTTAGCTTTCCAAACTTCTTCTTTGCAAGTTCTCGCTATCTGATGGTATTCTGTTGTAGTTATGTGTCCCTTTTCCATTTTTCATGCCCTTTATCTTTCAGTTTATCTTTCAGGTTTTTTTATTAACTATGCTGTCTTTTTTTCTTTTTGAACTGTTGTTGTTAGTTACAAAGTCATGTCCGACCCATCGCGACCCCATGGACAACATTCCTCCAGGCCTTCTTTTTGCCTTTTGGTACTGTCCATGGGGTTTCATGGCAAAGATACTGGAGTGAGTTGCCATTTCCTTCTCTAGTGGATTTAGGCTTTTATAATCATATTTTTCAGAGTTTCCCAAGCTTCTTGAGTTGATTTCCCCTTTAAGATTTGAATCCATGGGGTCCTTCCCAAACTCTGCCTGAGTTTGTTAAAATCACCTCTTTTAAAGTCTAAGACACTGATTTGATTATGTTTCGTTGCTTGTGTCTGTTTTATATTGAATTCTAAAATGACGTGGTCACTCTCCCCTAAAGTTTCTGCAACTTCAGTCCCTCTATCATTTCTTCTCTGTTGATAAGAATAAAGTTCAGTATAGCTGTCCTTCTAGTTGCCTCCTCTACATTTTGGGTGATGTTGTCAGTTAGGTGGGTCAGGAATCTGTTCAATCTCCCATTAGTTGCAGAGTTTGTCTCTCAGTTGATGTTAAAGTCCCCCGTTATTACTGTAGTGTGTTTCCTGTTGATTAACTGGTTAGCAAAAAGTCCATTTATTTCTTCTGCTTGGTTGAGTGGCCTATAGTATACACCTGTGGCAATGTCATTCTTTTTTTCCTTTTATGTTGACCCATGTGCATTCTACAAGGCTTTCAACCTTTGTTGAGTGCATCTCTACAAAGAGGAAGTGATCTCTAATATACAATGCAAGTCTACCTCCTCTTTTGTTAGGTCGATTTCTTTTAAATAGTTTATATCTTCTATCAGTACATTCCAGTCATGAGTTTCATTCCACCAGATTTCTGTAATGGCAACTATATCATACTTGCCCTCTTGTACTAATATTTCAAGTTCATCCTGTTTGTTTCCTAAACCTTGAGCATTAGTTTAAGTTTTGGCATTTAAGTTCTTTGTGGCTGACCCTGGGTATGCTTTCTACAACTCCTACTTTGTATCTGAGTTTTTCTTCTCTTTATTCCTTGCCTCCATATTTGATTGGTTATCGAGTGGTTTTTGCTTTGAATTAGGTCCTAATGGATGTGAAGATTGGTCACGCCCTTTCAATTTTAGTTTAAAGCCCTTCTGATAAGATGAGCTAATAATAATAAGTTAAGATAAAAAACGTTCTAGGTAAAATCTATACAGATAGTCGTCGATTTATGACAATTTGTTCAGCAACTGTTCAATTATGGCAGCACTGAACAAATAGTACTTATGACTGATTCTCAAAATTACAGCACTGTCCCTGTAGTCACATGATAAAAATTGGGCACTTGGCCATCAACCTGAATGGGGTTTCAACTCCACCTGCCTATCTCCCCCATATGCCTTTTTGGCTCCCTGCATTCTATAAACCTTTGTTGATTTTGTTATATTCTCCCAGAAGTGCCCAAGCTTATTCGATCAGCCCTTTGCAAGGCACCTGCACAAGTTTTCTTTCCTAGGTCGCACATGACAATGTTCTTACAAGACCTGAGGATATTGGCATATAATAAATAGTTGCTCTGCAAAGGGCCTGGTTGGACACACCTTGTCAGTACGGTCAACAAGAAAACAGTGAAGGTCAGCTGGCATGGCAAAGTAGAGCGTACCAGAGGCTTTGGATGATAAGGTGACATGAGCAACTGTGGCTGGGGCAACTGTGGCTTCTCAGGAAGCTGCAATTTTGCACTACACTATTAGACTGGGTTTTGCACTGTGGTGAGACTCAGAGACTTCTTGCAGTGCCAGAGCCACAGTGCACCAAGAAGCCCCTTTGCACCATGCTGCTGGGCTGGGACTTCATGCTTCACTGTGATTCAGAGGCTTCTTGTAGCCCCAAAGCCACATTGCACCTTTTGTGTCTTTGAGGGTAACTCAAGGCAGGGTGTGAGGCAGCCAAAAGGGCAGAGATGGGCAGACTAGGCAATTGGGAAGAGTTGAAGGACAAAGTCAAAACATATAATTTAGTTTTAATACTACATTGATTTGTTTCTCATGCAACAAAATCCAACCAAGAACTAAAAAAAAAATTTCCTGACTGTGAGAACAATTAATCAGTGAAACAATTTGCCTTCACTGGAGGTTTTTCAGATGAGATTAGACATCATTTGTCTGGAATATATAGGATCTCCTGCTTGAGCAGGGGGTTAGACTAGAAGACCTTGAAGGTCTTCCAACTCTGTTATTTTGTATTCTTTCAATATTAACATTTTGCCTGCTACTTTTATGAAACAGTAAAATTATGGAATGGTGTATTTTTCATAAGTTTCAAGCTTCATTCAAAACAAAAAATCAAACATGTCAAAGTAAATTCAATTAAACGTGTATATTATAATATTAAAAAAGACTTACTAATATTAAATCTCCATAGATTCCAAGAAGTGATAAATTGACTATATGCATTTATATATTCTAAAGATTTTTTTCATTCTGTGTAACAATTTTCTATTCAATATTAAATTTTCTAGCCTAACACTGCTAAATATTCACTTATTTAGAGGCTTAAATAAAATCTTCAAATAGTTTCAAATCAGTGATCAAATAAAAATAACCTAGTTAAATGAAAAAAGCAATTTTCATTTCTCAATCAAGTTGAGGATCTAAAACTGATGCAGTTGACAGAAGCTTTGCTTTTCATATGTTAATTGTAGTGATCTGTACATTAGTCATAGAGAAAATGCAGTCCCTTTTGAACTATTTTTTTATATTTGGCAAGAAATCCAAGTTCATTACAAATGTATCATAAAATTAATTTAAAAAACAAAATTTAAAATTAAAATTAAATCTTCCCAAAGAGTCCTGGGATTGTCTATTCGTTTAATACATTTTCACATAAAGACATTATTTCATTTAATAAGAGATAAAGAAGTAATTGGATTATCAAAGAACTATACAATATAGATAGTTATGATGTGGAGTATCATGAAGAAAATAGTTGCTTGTAAGAACTTTTCTGCCAGTTCTATCAGCTTTTCTTACTATATGGCCCTGATGGCATCAAATGTCAATGATTTCTCCTGCTCTGATTTGTACAACAAATAAACCTGTTATGATATACATCTGGTGATAGAGGGAAGTACTAGGCAGCTTCACAAAACTTGAACTTTACTGATTTTATTCTGAAAACATCCATCTCACACACAGAGGGACTCTGTGTACAATAAATACACTTACCCTTCCAGCCTAACATCAGGTAAAGATCTGTTGAGTGCAATAATTTCACTGGCCATTAAATTAAACTGATTGATTTTAAACATTTCCTTCATTTTCTCTTGATCTTCTTTAGCAATGGCAACAGGATTCCCCATTTCTCCTGGACCTTCATGAGCTTTTTGCACCAATTCTGGAACTAATAAAAACATGATCATAACTAAACAATTTAAAAGGACCACAATATCTGTACTTAATATACTACAATACAACCTTTAATACATATTGGAGAATTATGCAGCACTGAGGTTAAGAAAGCTATGTGAAATAAATCTTGAAACTGGATAAAAAGAATTTTGGAGGAAAATGCAAACATTAATTCTTCATAGGAGCCATACATAGTGGCTGCATATCTATAAGTGTGGTTCTCTCATATCTGTTCATTACACATATACACTGGATCATATAACTGACCAGAATGCCATTTGAGAATATTCTAAGCTGAATATATTTGACGAAAAATATGCTCTAGGGTTAGGCTGTATTTTTTGTTCTAATCACTCACAATCTGCTCAGAATTGCCCCAAAGGTACAACTTGCTATAGTTAGTGCCACAGAGTGAACTGACTTATACAGAAGATTACTCAAAACTGGCTGAGGCTGGTAACCTCAAAGTCCAAAGCAATTGTAATGCAGAAAGCAATCACTTCAAAGATATCATGTTTGCAATGAAGTTGTTCCCCATTATATCAAAAATTGTGACAAATTTTCCCAGATACCCATTTCTCTATCATGGCTGTAGTCAGCATGTGGGCAATGCTTAGGGACCTGAACTTGGCGTTGTCTTACCTGAACACTCCTGGGTTCTATGACAGTCTTCCCGCCCCAGAGGTCAAAACGTTGGCCACACCCTTCCTCTTTGCACTCCAGTTTTGACTGATGACGAGTTGATCAACTTTATATTCCTGTTCGATGCCTGCCTTAGACCTACCTGGGTGGGCTCTTCAGGTAAGCAAGCCCCTTGGTTGCAGGATGGCTCAGTCCAATGGTTAACATGAACCAAAGCCCTCATGTCCCCCTGGGAGGGAGTGTCTTTGGATGATAAGGTGACATGAGCAACTGTGGCTGGGGCAACTGTGGCTTCTCAGGAAGCTGCAATTTTGCACTACACTATTAGACTGGGTTTTGCACTGTGGTGAGACTCAGAGACTTCTTGCAGTGCCAGAGCCACAGTGCACCAAGAAGCCCCTTTGCACCATGCTGCTGGGCTGGGACTTCATGCTTCACTGTGATTCAGAGGCTTCTTGTAGCCCCAAAGCCACATTGCACCTTTTGTGTCTTTGAGGGTAACTCAAGGCAGGGTGTGAGGCAGCCAAAAGGGCAGAGATGGGCAGACTAGGCAATTGGGAAGAGTTGAAGGACAAAGTCAAAACATATAATTTAGTTTTAATACTACATTGATTTGTTTCTCATGCAACAAAATCCAACCAAGAACTAAAAAAAAAATTTCCTGACTGTGAGAACAATTAATCAGTGAAACAATTTGCCTTCACTGGAGGTTTTTCAGATGAGATTAGACATCATTTGTCTGGAATATATAGGATCTCCTGCTTGAGCAGGGGGTTAGACTAGAAGACCTTGAAGGTCTTCCAACTCTGTTATTTTGTATTCTTTCAATATTAACATTTTGCCTGCTACTTTTATGAAACAGTAAAATTATGGAATGGTGTATTTTTCATAAGTTTCAAGCTTCATTCAAAACAAAAAATCAAACATGTCAAAGTAAATTCAATTAAACGTGTATATTATAATATTAAAAAAGACTTACTAATATTAAATCTCCATAGATTCCAAGAAGTGATAAATTGACTATATGCATTTATATATTCTAAAGATTTTTTTCATTCTGTGTAACAATTTTCTATTCAATATTAAATTTTCTAGCCTAACACTGCTAAATATTCACTTATTTAGAGGCTTAAATAAAATCTTCAAATAGTTTCAAATCAGTGATCAAATAAAAATAACCTAGTTAAATGAAAAAAGCAATTTTCATTTCTCAATCAAGTTGAGGATCTAAAACTGATGCAGTTGACAGAAGCTTTGCTTTTCATATGTTAATTGTAGTGATCTGTACATTAGTCATAGAGAAAATGCAGTCCCTTTTGAACTATTTTTTTATATTTGGCAAGAAATCCAAGTTCATTACAAATGTATCATAAAATTAATTTAAAAAACAAAATTTAAAATTAAAATTAAATCTTCCCAAAGAGTCCTGGGATTGTCTATTCGTTTAATACATTTTCACATAAAGACATTATTTCATTTAATAAGAGATAAAGAAGTAATTGGATTATCAAAGAACTATACAATATAGATAGTTATGATGTGGAGTATCATGAAGAAAATAGTTGCTTGTAAGAACTTTTCTGCCAGTTCTATCAGCTTTTCTTACTATATGGCCCTGATGGCATCAAATGTCAATGATTTCTCCTGCTCTGATTTGTACAACAAATAAACCTGTTATGATATACATCTGGTGATAGAGGGAAGTACTAGGCAGCTTCACAAAACTTGAACTTTACTGATTTTATTCTGAAAACATCCATCTCACACACAGAGGGACTCTGTGTACAATAAATACACTTACCCTTCCAGCCTAACATCAGGTAAAGATCTGTTGAGTGCAATAATTTCACTGGCCATTAAATTAAACTGATTGATTTTAAACATTTCCTTCATTTTCTCTTGATCTTCTTTAGCAATGGCAACAGGATTCCCCATTTCTCCTGGACCTTCATGAGCTTTTTGCACCAATTCTGGAACTAATAAAAACATGATCATAACTAAACAATTTAAAAGGACCACAATATCTGTACTTAATATACTACAATACAACCTTTAATACATATTGGAGAATTATGCAGCACTGAGGTTAAGAAAGCTATGTGAAATAAATCTTGAAACTGGATAAAAAGAATTTTGGAGGAAAATGCAAACATTAATTCTTCATAGGAGCCATACATAGTGGCTGCATATCTATAAGTGTGGTTCTCTCATATCTGTTCATTACACATATACACTGGATCATATAACTGACCAGAATGCCATTTGAGAATATTCTAAGCTGAATATATTTGACGAAAAATATGCTCTAGGGTTAGGCTGTATTTTTTGTTCTAATCACTCACAATCTGCTCAGAATTGCCCCAAAGGTACAACTTGCTATAGTTAGTGCCACAGAGTGAACTGACTTATACAGAAGATTACTCAAAACTGGCTGAGGCTGGTAACCTCAAAGTCCAAAGCAATTGTAATGCAGAAAGCAATCACTTCAAAGATATCATGTTTGCAATGAAGTTGTTCCCCATTATATCAAAAATTGTGACAAATTTTCCCAGATACCCATTTCTCTATCATGGCTTGTAAAAATGTTGGCAAGCAGTCAGACCTCTTTTTGAGGATAAGGGAGATAATAACAAAATTAAAATTAAATCACAATAGCCTCCAGTAAACATTTTAGCTTCTCAATGCTTATACAGGTAGGTAATCCACAATTTATGACCTTTCATTCAATAGCCTTCCAGAATTATGACGGACTTGGAAAGGGGCGTTGTCTTACCTGAACGCCTTTTCTCAGCAGGATGATGTAGAGTCCAATGGTTGGGTTCTATGACAGTCTTCCCGCCCGACAGACTAGGTCAAAACGTTGGCCACACCCTTCCTCTGGGCGTGACTCCAGTTTTGACTGAGACGAGTTGTTTGTTGAACTTTATATATATATCAGCTCCTTGTTCGATGCCTGCCTAGACCTAACACCTGGGTGGGCTTGGTTCAGGTAAGACAACGCCCCTTCTCCAGCAGGATGGCTGTAGAGTCCAATGGTTGGGACATACCAAAGCCCTCATGTCCCCCTGGGAGGGAGTGTCTAGGCCACTGAATCCTGAGCAGATACAACTTGCTGTAGCACTCTCCTACCAAAGGCAGCATCCGCTGCGGCAAAGGAGTCTAAACGGTAATGCCTAATGAATACTGAGGGAGAAGATCAAGTTGCGGCCTTGCAAATCTCTTCCACCGATGCTTGTGTGGACCACGCAGCCGATGTGGCTGCGCTGCGTGTTGAATGGGCAGTCACGTGCGGGGGCACTGGTAGTGCCTGCGAGACGTAGGCTTGGGCTATACAGGCTCTGAGCCACCTACCTATGGTAAAAGATGACACCTTCTTTCCCATAGTTGATGGTTGGAAGGAAACAAATAATGCTTCCGTCTTACGGAAGGACGAAGTGCGCTTTACGTAGAAACACAACGCTCTACGTACATCCAGCTTGTGCCATCTCTGTTCTAGTCTATGTCTGGGTTTTGGGCAGAAATCAGGAAGAATCAGTTCCTGAGATCTGTGGAAGATGCTGTTTACCTTTGGAATGAAAGCAGGGTCTGGTCTAAGAACGACCTTGTCCTTGAAGAAGGTGCAGAGATCCTTCCTCACTGATAGTGCTGCTAGTTCCGAGATTCTTCTCGCTGAAGTAATAGCCACTAGAAAGGCTACCTTTAACGATAGGTGATACAGAGAACATGAGTCAAGAGGCTCAAAGGGTGCTGATGTCAAAGCTTGAAGAACTTTGGGCAAGTTCCATGACGGGTACCTGTGTATAACAGGAGGTTTAGTATTGGCCGCACCCTTCAAAAAGGCGCTAATCGCTGGATGTTGCGCCAGAGAGGTTAAGTTGTCACAGGAAAGTACAGTTGAGACGGCCGATACCTGTCTACGAATAGTGTTGACTGATAGGCCCTTATTAAGTCCTTCCAATAGGTAATCTAGAATATTGGGAATAGATACTGATCTATTGGATCTAGGTGAAGTAGGACGCACCACCTGCAAAAACCTTTCCACGTAGCATCGTAGATCCTGTTTGTCGAAGGTCGTCTTGATGCTTGTATGATCGATATCACCCCTGAGGAATAGGATTGTTTGGCTAAACTTTGCCGCTCAAATGCCAAGCGGCTAGTTGTAGCCACTGAGGATCTGGATGTAAAAGTTTGCCCTGACTGAGTATTACTCGGTCCGGGGGAATCCTCCACGGGGGTGATATTGAAAGATCCACGAGGTTGGCAAACCACGGGCGCCGTGGCCAATGTGGAGCAATCAAGATTACTTCTGCACCTTCCAGGATCAACTTGCGTATGGTTGCCGGTATCAATGGCAGCGGTGGAAAGGCGTACAGGAGTACCGACACCTGAGAGCGTCCGTTCCCTCCGATCCCAGAGTCAGGAATCTGGAGAAGAACCTGGGGAGTTGAGTGTTCTTTGGAGTGGCAAATAGGTCCAGGTGCGGTTGTCCGAACCTCCGGGAGATCTCCTCGAACAGAGCCTGATCCAGGCGCCATTCCGACTGATCCACCCTGGCTCTGCTCAGGGAGTCTGCCTGGGCGTTTGTCTCCCCTGAGATGTGTTCCGCTCTGATGGAACTCACATTTGCTTCTGCCCACCGAGCCAGAGCTGATGCCTCCTGCATTAGTTCCGAGGATCGTGTTCCTCCCTCCTTGTTGACATGGGCCTTGGCCGTTACGTTGTCTGTTAGAACGAGAACGTGCCTTCCCGTTACTATGTGGGAGAATTGACGTAGAGCCAGGTGAATGGCCTGAAGCTCCAGCCAATTGATGTTGTGAGAAAGGTCCTTCTGATCCCACTGGCCCTGCGCTATCTGGGTTCCCAGATGGGCTCCCCATCCGAATAGGCTCGCGTCTGTCGTGAGCGTGATCCGGTTCGGCTCCCTGAATAT